ACTTCTTGTTTCTATTTTTTGTTTTAGAAACAGTCTCCTTTTGTTTCTTACTAAAATTCCACTGTATTGCTAAGAGACAGCTGCAAGCTTACATTAAATTACTTGCTATCAAATGAGTAAATGGAATTTTTAAATGCCTCATCACTTTAGTGCATCATTAATCATGAGCTTATTATTTCATCAGAATTAGACAGTTTAACTTGGTATAGCTACTGTCATCCACAGTGCTGAGAGTACAAATAGTTACCTTCCAAACCATCAGTGTGTCAGCCACTTGTGTGGTTGCCCACCAAGGATCTAGTGCCTCAAGAGCATCTGAACATAGTCTACTGGAAACATTCATCATTACCAGTGAAATCTTTAATAGAATTAGATAGCAACATTGACTGATGTTTAACTATAAATCTCTTACTGCCTTTTCACTACCTATATACAGATCTCTTCCCCTGCACCACCAGTACACTATAACACTGTGGACCTGCGAAGTGAGACATAGCAAGATCTTCATTCGCAAAGGAGGTAGCTGAAGCAGCTGCTCACTCAAGCACTCTAGCTCCATCTTTTTGTGCATCCTGGAGAGTAAAGAACTTAGATTTCACTAGAGCAGGGGTGGCCAACCCATTAAGTCGAAGAGCCAAAACAGCAGTGGACAGAGTGTGAAGAGCCACCTACCAGGGCAGAAAATTGGTGCAAAGAAAAAGAAAAAGAAAAAGAAAAAGAAAAAGAAAAAGAAAAAGAGCTGCACCGGGGGAAAATAGGTGTCGGTACGCCGTGCCAGGGAGGGGGCTCCAGGCCGGACAGTATTGAGGTCAGTAGGTGGAGGGTTGGGGTGCTGAGCAAGCTGCAGGCTTGTGGCTGCGAGGGTGCAAGAGTTTGGGCTGGGGTGCATGAGGGGCTAAGGGCAGGGAGGCTGGGAATATGATGGGCTCAGGACACAGATCTGCAGAGTGTGGATGGTGCAGGCATGTTGTGGCAAAGACTGGGGATGTGGGGGTGCAGGAGTTTTGGGGATGAGAGGCTCAGGACAGGGGGTTCCAGTGTATGATACGCTCAGGTTTGGAGTATGGGGGAATGCAGGAGTGTTACGATGCTGCCACCAGATGGGGGCTTGGCCCCAATTGGGGGCTTGTTGGCCAGGCTTCATTTTTAAAAAAATATGTCAAACACAATGTGTTTCAGCACTATCTTTATTTATAAGAGGGGCAGGGAACCTGCTTTGAGTCAGGGGTCACTAAGCCACAGAAAAGTCCGTTGGGACCACACAAGTGAGATGCAAAAAACAACCCCTCCAAAAAACCCCAAGCCTCATTAATGTGGCCCCAACTGTGCTGGTGGAGGCAGGGAACAGAGTGCTGGAGCAAGGCGCTGGTGGGTGCTGGGGCAGGGTGCTGGTGCGAGGAGGGGTGGGTCTGGCCAGGGGGAAGGGACACTGACAGCTCGGCCAGTTCCTGGGGATTATGGGTCTCAAAGCACATGAGTGGATCTTCCCCTCCTCTCTCCTCCCTTTCCCTCCCATAAACAGCTGGCACGCTTCCTGAAACATCACATCTGTTGCTTGGCCCCTCCCCCCGCAGCCTGCTTTGGGTGTGAGTGTGTGAGAGAGAGAGTGTGTCTCTCCCAGGACTGCATGCCAGCTCCAACTTCTCAGGAAGCGCATGCTCTTCCTCTGCTCCCCACAACAGCCGCATACTTCCTGAGAAGTTGGAGCTGGCACGCAGTACCAGGATTCCTACTCTATCCCCTCCTCCCCACAAACCCAATCCCCATCCCGTCATCTCCCCTCCCCCCGCTCTAACCCAATCCCCCTCCCCCACAACCTTATGCCCAGGTCCCGGAGCCAAAGCCGCTGTTGCTACCACCACGCACATCTCCCCAGGCACTGGGGCACGTGGTCTGAGTGGCCAGCTTTGCACATGTGCTCGCCAGGACGCCATGCGCACACCTCTCCATCCAAATCCAACTTCCCTCCCCTTCTCCAGAGCCAGACACCTCCCTTCCCCACTGTAACCCAATCCCCCTCCCCCAATCTTATGCCCAGGTCCCGGAGCACAGCCGCTGCTAGTATGTGCAGGCTGGGATGCTGAATGCTACCTGGCCTGCACGTGCAGAATTGAGATAGTGCGCTGATGGCCATGAGCAGAATGGCACGGGCCGTAAGCACGCATGCGGCTCAGAGCGGCCTGGCCGTGAGACCGGCTGACCTGAGCGGTTCCGGGTTCGTCCTGGTTCTGTCAGGAGCCACAATTTTTTCCTCTGCGAGCCGCACGCAGCTCGCAAGCCACGGGTTGGCCATCCCTGCACTAGAGGCTTACTGCACAGAGGCAGTTTCACAGACTTGAACCGAGTATTGAAATGAAAAAAATGTATAGTTATCAGTTGCCTTTGGAAGGGGCCTGAGATACACAAACTTAATGAATGTGTGTAACAGTTTGGCTCTGGTTTACAGAAAGTTTTAGGGATTGGCAAGGACTCCAGGTTTTCCGACCTACAAACCCTGACCATTGTGATATCCTTCTCTCCCAGTCCCCAGAAGAGAATGAGATAGTCTATTGTGGACTACCTCTATCAAAACAACTTCCAGGAGGAAGCTGAACGAAGAGCGAGACTCCCTGAGTCATGGAACGAGCATGAAACATCCATAGCGTCTGTTGTCCATGGAAATCCAAACACTGAGCCCAAAAGGAAGCCTGGGAGACAAAACTTTTGGATCTTAAACTCTACACACGACAGCATTTGGAAGAGACATTGAGAAAACTATTAAGTCAATTTTTTCATAAAAGTACAAAAAGAGCTGCTATCTGATTTTATTTAATAGTTGCCATTTCACCTCACAAGAATTATGAGAACTATATTGTATTTTTATAAAGCAATACCTGTCTGCTGTTGGATTCCCCATCTGGTCCCCCACATCTTGAATTGCCAAGTTCCAGTCTGTTGAAACCTTCTCTTCATTTGGGGGGAGTACTGCTTTCTCTCTTCTTTCTTATTCAATTTAATTATATCATCTGCAAAAGTAAAGGTTTTATTATACACTTTAGACATCTATACTTTAAAGTAACAATAAAATCTTAGTTGCTTTGTTTTAAGCCTTACAGCTCTCACTCAGGCAAATTCCCAGAATCAGTCTTTTAGAAATAGTTCTCAGTGGGAGAGTAAAGATGGTATTTGCCCCTTCAAATTTATTGGTGGGGATGTTACTTGCAATTCACCACCCCTTTCACCAAACCTAACGTAATAGGTTTTCTAAGGCTATGTCTATGCTACAAGATAAGGTTGACTTTATTAAGGTCGATTTTTAACACCAGATTCTGTCAAGGCAAAGGTGCATGTCCCCACTGTGTGCCAGAATTAGACACAGTTCAAAGTAGCATGTCCCCAGTATGGTGGCTACCATCGACTTTGAGAACAATTCACTGTGAATAATTATCCCACAGTTCCTGTGCCCCTTTGCAGTTTGGGTTATGCTTCCAGTGCATGCAGGAACCAAAAATGTGCAGTGGAAGATTCTGGGTGCATGTCCCGCCTGCTTGACAGCAACAGCAAACAGTCTTTTTGCACCCTTCCCATCCCGCACCTGTTATCTGTACATAACACCATAAGCATGGAACCTCCCATTGAGCATCAAAACATTATGGCAATGATATTAACTAGAGATGTTAGATAGCATGTAATTGAAAAGTCATATAATGGCACAAAATATCATCAGTTACATGACTATTTGATCGTCCCCAGGCGCAGAGCCAGCAGCCACTGCCTCACTCCTGGGAAGCCTCCTGCTACCTCACACTGCTGCCACGGATACAGAAGCAGCAGCACGGAGCAGCAGCAGCACTTTTCTGAGAGGGGTCCGAGCTCCCTGTGGACAGAGGCTGCTCTGCGGCAGCAGTCCCTGTATGTGGAGGTCTGAGCTCCCCATGGATAGGGTAGGGATGTAAGCAACTAGTCAACTACCCGATAAGTATATGATTATCAGGTAGTCAAGTAGTGACTTGATTAGTCACTTCCTCCACACCTTTGCTGCCTATCAGAAAGAGACAGCAAGGGGGAAGGGAGCAGGAACCGATGCAGGCGAAAGCAGCTTAAAAGCAAGTTCCCCCCAGCACCATCTCTGCAGGGGAGGCAGAGGCTAGTGGGGGAAGGGTGGGGGGGAGAAGAGAACAGGTACAAGCTGGGAATCAGCTGTTCCAGCTCATGCCTAGTCCCAGACTCTGCACCTCTGCTTTTTAAATGTATTAATAGATGCTAGGCTCTTAATACCCTTAAAAGGAAGGGCTACAGCAGGGTTCGCTCACGGGGCTGGAAGCTAACCCCAATGTGGCTCTGCAGCTTTCCTGATTATCGACTAATCAAGTAGTTGATAGAAATTCCAACGATCACTATGGATGTTAAATATCGGTTAATTAAATAGTCAAGTAACCTCATGAATTCTTATTGGTTAGTCGACTATACTATAGTCCCTGAGGGCGGGGCCAGCAGCAGCACAGGATGCCAGGCAGGAGCTATTCCACGAAGGAAGCCACTTTAAAAACCAGCTCCTCTTGTGGATAGGCTGCTTGTCGCCCCGTGGGTTGCCTCTGATAAAGCAGCAGCAATGCGGGGTGGCAGTAGCCATTGTCTGGGGAAGGAGTTCTGAGCTCCCAGACTCGGCGTGAACTAGAACTGAGCCAGGCTGCCTGCCCACCTGGCTCCTAATATACTTTAAATGCAGAGCCACAGTAGGGGGGTAGGTCCCAGACCCAAAGTGAGCCAGAACTAAGCCAGGCTGCTGGCCAGACTGCTAAAAATATTACTGGTTGGGGAAAGGAAAAAGCATGTAATCTACAGCATTAACCTATACGCTTTTCCTTGGTTCATCGACTACACTATTACATCCCTATCAACTGCTCGATTACCAGATTAAATGCAATTTAACATCCCTACGACAGGGGCTTCTTCAGCACAGAGCAGCCCATATCCACCGGGAGCTCAGACCCCCATAGACAGAGGCCTTAGAGTAGCTTCTGTCCATGGCAACCTCAGGCCTGCCACAGACAGAGGCTATTTCACAGCAATCTCCTCTCCCCCCAAGCTGCTGCCTCTAATAGAGGCAGCAGCCCCCAGGGACTATAGAATAGTTGTGTATCTAAGATTTTATGCCGTTAAATGACTATTTGATTATCCAATATCTAACATCCTTACGAACCTTAACTCCTCTGAATAGCAGCACTATGTTGATGTTCCTCCTATCAACACAATCTATCTCCCTGGGAGATGGAACTAACTACAATGACAGAAAAGCACTCTCCTGTCACCATAGTGCCTTCACTTAAGCACTACAACTATACTGCACCAATACATCATTTTAAGGACTTGTCAACACTACTGCTTATGCCGATGTAACCAGCACTACTTAGGAGTGTGAAAAAGCCACACCGCGCGCGCACACGCACACACACACACACACACACACACACACACAACCATGTAAATTACAACTTAAGTGTTGGTGTTGATAGCAGTATGTTGGGTGGAAATGCTCTCACCTCTCATGGAGGCAGAGCCCAACCATGTAGTGGTTCTAGTGTAGACTAGCTCCCAGGCTAGACCTGCCCTAACAGACACATGGGTTTTGGGTCTAATTACAACAATCTATAAGGCTATGTCTACACTAGCAACTGAATGACAAAACTTTTGTCTTTGAGAGATGTTAAATGACATCCCCCCCAGACAAGTTTTGCCCATAAGTGCTCTCCTGCTAACAAAACTAATGCCACTTTTTCAGGACAGAAGTATTTAGCTGGCAAAAGAGCCAACACAAACAGCAGCTACACTGCCCAACTTTTAGCGATACGACTGTCGATATAGTTGTGTTGCTAAAAGTTCAGTAGTGTAAACTTACCTACCACATTTAAAGTGCAAAGCCACAATGGGGTTAGCTCCTGGGGCCAGCACAAGCCAAGACTGAACAGTCCTGGGACCACTACAGCTTTGCTTCCTGTCCCCCATCCCCACACCACAGAGATAGTGCTGGGACCCCTGCAGACAGAGGCTACTGCCAGAACAGCCTCCCTGAACCTCTCCCCTGCCCGATAGAGCCAGTATGGGGGAAGGTGGCACTACAGAGACAGTGCTGGGGAAAACTAGCTTTTAAGCTGACTCCTCCCAGCACCCACTCCTTCCCCTTGACTAATTGACTACCCACTTACATCCCTAGTAGGGGCCTAATCATAATACACAAACAAAAATCAACTCTGTCCTCCCACATTCCTATCTTTAAGGGAGCTCTGAAACAGTATGTCACAAATTTTGATCAAATGTAGGACTGTGTTTAAGCCACTTGCCAAAGACCACTTGTCATACAATATAAATGGGCAAATTGTAGGTACCCTCATATTTTGAGTTGATCCGCAAAGAAAAATACAACAGCTTGTTCTCTTTTTTGCATCTTTATATGAATAAAGGCAACAAAGTTGTTATTCCCTCTTAAAAAAACCACAACTCTTTTACATTAAGATTCAGGTCTTGTTCTCCCCACACTTTTGGGAAACTTGATGGTAAGATAATGAATGGGGTTAAGACCTCTCAAATTCAAGGTAAAATGGAATTAAAGAGAGATTTGTTTTAGGCAGTGTTTAAATGCAGCTGTTTTGGTCAACCCCCACTTAATCCTATAATTTCCATAAGGTGAAAAAAAAAAGCTCTCTTTGCTAAAGCCTGGCCATTTCCATGGTGAATACACCTGCGTTTCTGAGGTCTTGCCAATGGGTCAAGCAGCAAAAACAGGCAAGGGTGCGATTGCTAAAGTGAGAGATCCAAGCAGCAGCTTTTCTACTGGTCCATTTCCTGGACACCACGATACAAATAAGTGACGGTCATATCAATACCACCCTATACAGAAAACCTACCGACCGCTATACTTACCTGCATGCCTCCAGTTTCCATCCCGGACACACCACACGATCCATTGTTTACAGCCAAGCACTGAGGTACAACCGCATATGCTCCAACCCCTCAGACAGAGACCTACACCTACAAGACCTTCAACAAGCATTCTGTAAACTGCGATACCCACACGAGGAAGTGAGGAGACAGATTGACAGAGCCAGACGTGTACCCAGAAGCCTCCTGCTACGGGACAAGCCCAAGAAAGAAACCAACAGAACACCACTGGCCATCACCTATAGTCCCCAGCTAAAACCTCTCCAACGCATCATTAGTGATCTTCAGCCCATCCTGGACAATGATCCCTCGCTCTCACAGGCCTTGGGAGGTAGGCCGGTCCTTGCCCACAGACAACCCGCCAACCTGAAGCATATTCTCACCAGCAACTACACACCGCACCATAATAACTCGAACTCAGGAACCAATCCTTGCAACAAACCTCGGTGCCAACTCTGCCCACATATATACACCAGCAACACCATCACAGGACCTAACCAGATCAGCCATACTGTCACTGGTACATTCTCCTGCACATCCACCAACGTAATATATGCCATCATGTGCCAACAATGCCCCACTGCTATATACATCGGCCAAACAGGACAGTCCCTACGTAAAAGAATCAATGGACACAAATCTGATATTAGGAATGGCAACATACAAAAACCTGTAGGGGAACACTTCAATCTTCCTGGACACACAATTGCAGATCTAAAAGTAGCTATCCTGCAGCAAAAAAACTTCAGGACCAGACTTCAAAGAGAAACTGCTGAGCTACAGTTCATCTTTAAGTTTGACACAATCAACTCTGGATTAAACAAAGACTGTGAATGGCTTGCTAACTACAAAAGCAGCTTCTATTCTCTTGGAATTCACACCTCCAGATCAGCTGCTAGAAGTGGGCCTCATCCTCCTTGATTGGATCCACCTGGTCATCTCCAGCCTGATCCTGGCCTGCATATTTATTCCTGCCTCTGGAAATTTCCACTACATGCATCTGACGAAGTGGGTCTTTGCCCACGAAAGCTTATGCTCCTACACTTCAGTTAGTCTATAAGGTGCCACAGGACTCCTCGTCGCTTTT